ACTTAATTTTTTTTTATTATAATTTTACAATTAATTAATTATAACAAAAAATTATATAAACATTTATCATAATTTTTTTATGAATCTTATAAATACTAAATTTTAATTGATTAATTATATTATAATAATTATAACTCATATGTTGGTTTAGGAAAAACTTCAAAAAAAAGAAAAAAAAGAAGCTTTAATTGTCCTTGATTTGAGGGTGGCAATTGATTAGTAGTATTAATTTGGGCGAACAATGAAAGTATTCTCCGAAAAAGTGCATAATTAATCTTTCAAAAATAGATTACTTTTTGAAACGTAATGATGAGGTCATGCATTACATATAAATTAGTGTAGTGAATTTTTTTGATCTTATTGAGACCCAGCTAGCTGGAACCTGGTAAGCTTGAGTGGGGCAAGACAGGAAATGGCACCTGCCGTAATTTTCTGCCGAATAGACGTAAAATACTGTAATATTCATGCATGGTTGTCACTCTGAAGGTCACTTTACTGGCAAGGCAAAAGATTATTTGATCATAGACAACGCAATTTTTAAGCCGCTCATTCTCTTAACGTCAGCTCGATCACCTGAGGAAGGCAAAGTGCATTCCGTTTTTATCACCAAGGCATCGCGCTATGGTGATGATAGGATGACGACGGTGTTAGCCAGGATTAATTTATTTATTAATTTACTTAACATATACTACTATACATACAAATTAATTAATTAATTAATTAATAGCACAGAGAATGTGCAAAAAGTTCCATGAATAAAAAATTAGCATATAATTTAAATTGCTTCTCCATTTACATATATTATTATAAAATTATTGTATCTGGTTCAAGTATACAATATTACTTAATTACTAGCCTGCTAGAAAATGACTTCACTAGAATAGATGCACTTCAATCCCATTCACAGGTAAAGGATTCTGAGGATAGATAATGTTAATTAAATACTAATATATATGTAAACTGTAAGCCTGCAACATGACCGATATTCACATACACAGCCAATTTCAAGTTGCTAGCTCCACCATCCTTTAGTTGTAAATTAACTAAATCAGCCAAGTGAAGCCGAAAGGAAAGAATGTGATTGGAATCTTAATAATTATTGGTCGCAATTGGAGGTTATCTTGTCATTATGTGAGACAAGAAAATGAATGCATGATTTGATGGTGTTGTTGGGTGGGTCTAATTAAGCATTATATATACCAAGTACCCTTTTTAATAATTTTAAGTAATCCCAAATTAATTAATTAATTAGGATAGGTAGATAATCACCATTTTAAATTGCAAGTGATATGTCCATTACCATCACCATTTGCTTCAGTATTTTACCTACTTCCATGCTTGTCTGCCCCTTTTGCCTTTTCATCTTGATTCACGGAGCAAAAACTCACTCACCCACTATCCATAAACTTAATGCACGATCTTCACTTGTTATTAGTAAAATAATAATAATAATAGTAGTTGTTCTAGAATTAATGTGATGTCAAGTATATATAAATAATTAATTAAATTGACATTTCTAATTCTATAAAGTAACTTGAGTTTAAAAAAAGAAAAAGAAAAAGGAACAGGAAATGTATCCATACTTTTATATATGGGCTTTGGCAACAGTTGAAATAGTATTTCTCATTATAATTTTTTTTTTTTTTTTAATTTTGTTCCTACTCATATCTCTATCAAGGGGTGGAATTCCAGGTCAATGGCCGCTCGAATCTCACCTTATAAATTTATGGGTAACGTTGTTATCTTTCTCCAATTCCATATAATTAAAAGGAAGTCTGTCATATAATATAATATATATAGCATAGAATTACAGTAGAGTTGATCCTCTTAATTATATATTCTTAGTGGAGGCTGTCATCATCGTCCTGCAGACAGGCCAAATGTGAGCTCAAACAGCAAAGTCTGGTCGATGTATGTATATGAGCCTTAATTAAGTTCTGTATGTATGCAATAACTAATTATATATATAATTAAACACGTATTAATTTGTTCCAATATATATATATATATATTAGCATATTTACCATGGATTTATTTATGTATCAAGTGTTAGTTTACAGCTAGCAAAGACAGCAATTAAAAAATTAAAAACCTTTTAGTTTGAGATATTATTATTATTAATAAAAGAAAAGTAGTAAAAAAGGAGTAGTAGTAAGTAGGCAAAATGCAAAAACTGAAAGGAGTAGTTAATTTTGAATATTTGCAATATCTAACTTTGTTGTTTTTTTAACCTCTATACATACACACGTAATAATATTATATATAATATAATAGTATCTTGCTTTTCCGCTCACGAGTATCAATATGGATTGGACCCATACAATTTTGATTGAGAATATTATAATTAGGCCATGCGATTTAGTTTTTTTATTGTTGGCCTCCTATAGGCCACTCAAGATTTTCACAATCCCTTGAATGCAACATGGATGCATGTCTACTCATTTGATTTGCTGTCATCTCTCTCTTCTCTCTCTCTTGCTCTCTTATCTCGATTTACACCTACACACTTTATTTATATTTATATATGTATTTTAAACATTACATTTTATAGGTCAAAGTCGCAAGCAATGAATCACTAAGCCAAAAAAAAAAAAAAAATGTAATTAAATAATAAATTCTTCACACGAGATTATATATTTTTTTATAAACGTGATTTCACATTTCCACTTTTAATTATATTAATGAGTAAAAAAATTCATTAATCATTGGTATGAGTAAAATGAACCAGGCAGTAGTCCATCAGGCCTGTCCGTCACGAATAGCTGGGGGGAATTTGACAAAGGAAGAGATGCTTTTCTTCTCCAAATAATATTATAAGACATGAGAAGCATCTAAGACCTCCACAGTAACAGTGGAGAAAGTGGAGTGGGAAAAGGACATTTGGGCGTCGATGAGGAAAGTGGGTCTAGTAAAAACGACAATCACTGCAATCATGAAAATTTTAAACCTTTCACTGTTACGTATATACACACACATCCAAAAATTTGAAAATTAATTTAAATATTTGAGAAAAATTAAAACATTAACAATTAATATATAGGAAAAGGTTAAGGGTCTCATCTTTTTTTACTAATATTGAAGTAATTAAACTAGTGAAACTATATATATAACAGTAGTTGAGGTTGATGAGCCAGGGGAAGAAAAAGCATTGATTAATATTCCACAAACCAAGGTGTCATTTGCCATTGAAAGCAAGCTTCGATGTCAAGGAATGCAAATATTGCAATGGTAAGTACTACAACTACGTACTGTTGAGGTCGTCAGGTGCCTTCAACAAATTAATATTAGCATTATTTCCTGCTATCAACTCATCTTAATTGTAGTATAATTATATATTTGCATTTGATCATCAGCTTGCTTCCACAGGTATGGATGCGTGGTGTGGTCCTCTTCTCCACTGCCAGCAGCCTAGTTGTGACAATTTTCCTTTTTGTCCTTTTTGGGCTGCAAAGTGCAAATTACTCATGCCATGGGGTCCCGCACACAACTAAGCTTTTATGATTCCTGCCCCATACCACCACACTTCATTTCCTTCTTTTGTTATAAATGTGTGAGATTGGAATACATAAATTTGCAGATGGGTGACCCTAATTCTCCATTTAAGGTCTCTCTCTCTCTCTCTCTCTCTCTCTCTCTCTCTCTCATTCTAATAATTAAATTAAACTTTCTCTCCTTCTTGTGTGAGTGATGAGAGGTATAGCTTCTTGTGGTGGCATGGCATGAGAAGGTGTTTATTGAGCAAGATGGAGAAGCAGGGCACGTGCATTACTAACTCGTAAGTACGTCCACTCAGGCACGCATTTGGTTCTAGCTTCTAGCTAGCTAGCCGGAGTTATGGCTCTCTGTTCACCCATGAAGCTAGCTCCACTGAGTTAGTTCTTCATGTGCCCGTCTTCCCCATCATGACATTGGCACCTTGTGTTTTTAGCACCAAGTTGCTGCTGTTTTGAAGAAGATTAATCTAGAATAGATGACTACCATAAAATTAAATATTATAAAGAAGCTCCTATTTTGTTGTTTATATGATTTAACAATCACAGCAAGAATTGGCTGAAATCGACCGGCAAAGCCCAATTTCAGGTGAGATAATTAAGATTGCATGCTGTTGCCAATTAAGTTTAACTGTTAGAGAAATTGCGAATTATTAAGTTTAGTTAATTCTGATATAGCGTTGTCAAACTTGTTAGGACAAAGATGAAGAAAATATGTGCATCCGCATAGAAATATTGTGAGTTTATTTGTGATGAGATTTCAACAATGTCATATATATTGACTGAATTGTATATAAAAGGTCATATCAGAAACAGAAAGGCTTGCAGTAAGAGTGATGGAGGCGATTAGTCCAGTCTCCACTGCTCTCCAGCCGCGAAGTTTGATTTGACTAATCATCTCCAACTCCAGGTGTCTAGTTTTTTTTTCTTTTTCATCTGTCCTCTCTTTCTCTTTCTCTTTCTCTTTCTACATATATATGTTTTCTGCCTATTCTGCATTGCAATTTGCAGAGGCTTTTATGTGCTTAAAAGAATGGAAACTGTGGTTTCATAAAGAGATATTATATATATAATCTAGCGAACAGGACCATGGTCAGGTGCTGGGGGAAAAACTATTAATTATTTGCAGGAGCATAGTCTCAAAGTAAGGGTGACATCTCTGGCGATCGAGCTAATTAGTTTTGGTTTTTTGGCAGTAAAAATTTTTCCGAAGACATAATATCTGGAATAAGAAGTGTGGCATTCAAGTACTAACATTGGGTATTATTGCACGATAAGCAAATATAGCTTCAACTAATTCTAACTGCAATATTAAAATACTGGTAGTTTGCGCAAATTAGTGCTGTTGAACTTGAGCTCACCTACTTATTTATACCATATAATATATGTCTATATATATATATATATATATATATATATACACACACATATATATATATATTCCATTTTCAAAGTGGTTTACAATAGAATATATAGATGAAACAATAAAGTTCATCTTTCTTCTTCAAAATAAGGGTAACAGTACGTAGTTTTCCACTTTGCCCTCCTCCAATACTGAAACCGGTTGAAACAAATGATACAAAAAGCATTGCTTAGCAATAAAACAAAAAATCTCTTAGAAGATTAACATGATAATAGGTTTTTTTTTTTTTTTTCTGCTGCTGCCTGTGCCAGATAATTGATTCTCATTCCATAATTTGCCAGTAAAAGAAGAAAGATAGAGAGATATATGGAGCAAAGAGACATTATTTTTCGAGAAAAGTGGTGGGTTTATTATCATGAATAGACAAATTGGTAAAAATGGTACCACCACCCAGGAGACAGTACAAGATAACAACCATATGTCTATTCCCTTCTTTGGCTCTTCGCTCTTCGCCTTTCCCTTTCCCTTTCCCTTTCCCCATCCCCTACATACACGTTGGAGTGACAACGAAAACCCATAAGGCTACACCTTGCGCTTAAATCCAATCCAAGCCTGATTCCTCATTTACCCGGCCGAATAATAATAATAATAATAATAACCAACAGCTTGAAAGCCCAATTTTGAGGGATAAGGATTATGAGGTTGATTAGTTGGGTTATTTGGGAGGGGGCGATTCTTTTGGTTGAGCAAGGTGATAAACTGATAATATAATGATGGTGTCCACATTATCTAGTTGCACTTTTTTTTTATTTGGCAGCTTTCCTCTCATTTAAAACGAAACGGAATGAACCTACTGCTGATTAAAAAATGATAACCCAGTTTGGCTGCAACTCCGGACCAGACTGACACTTTGTAAGACCTACGGTTTGTCACCTTCTTGCATGTTACTCTTTGCTGACAGAGAGGCAACAAGCACCTTCAAGTCTCAAGTCCCAACAGCTTCCCTCTAGTCTACTCTCTCTTTTTCTCTTTACTTAATTTTTCCCAGTCGATATGTTGGTTGGATCTTTCTTTTACTCCCAAAAACAAATGAAAGTGTTGGTTGGATGGAACTATTAAAGAGGCCTGTTGCACCGGCTTCTGCATACTGAAAGAAAATTCCTGAAGTATATGCTTTTATTTAGTTCTTCAACTTTGTTCTATTTAGAGGCTGAGATGATTCCTTTTTTCCACCATTCGGAGGGGTTCTGTTCGCAACAAAGTTTAAAGAATACGATGCAAGCACCTTCAAAACTTTAACATCTCATCCCCACTAACACCTCTGATTGTCCATCTTTCTACCCACTTCGAGATGAATAACTGGAGATGAGATGCAAAGGTGAATAACTTTTGGAATGATCTGTAAGTTCCCTCGCTCTAGTTGAAACGTGGGTGAATTAGTAAACCACTCAGAGTCCTAATCAGATCAAAAGCTTTGTCAAAAAAAAAAGAAGGAAAAAATCAGAATAAAAGCTTAAACAATATTTGTCTTAATCCAGAATCTAGACCGACTATTACGTTAGAAGACAAAACTGTCAAATAAGTCAGCAAGTCAAGGATGCTAAAACTGTAAAAAATATTCCCCAAACACAAGTCAGAGCTTACTAAAGGAAGAGCAACCATCTGCGTTAATATATGTTAAGAGGACTTTGGTAAGATAACGCCATCCACATAACTCCCGTTTTAGAAAATCTATTTGAAATTAAAACTGCAAAACTTACAGAGTTTTGCAATGTCTAATTGACTAAAAATAGACCGAGGCAAATACGATGGATGCCTAATATTTATATACTACATTTTGTAGAGATTATAGTTAAAGAATATACACGCTTGGAAAGGACTTTTGGTTCTTGAAGGGTAAGAGCATCGGTTATATGTCCAAATTTTGCATTGAGATTATATGGGTATATTTAAAGCCTGTGACACTAGAGCCTGCAAACAGGGGGAACGGCCTTAAGTTGTTTTGGTAAGATATATCAAACCAGAAACTGCAAATTTGGGTCATCTACAAATGGCAACCATTGTGGTCCCACACTTAGAGAAAACAATAATGTGGATTATAGGTTCAATGCCAGCATGTGCACTAAAGAAGGGAGCATACAGCTATACCTTGATCAAATTGATACAGCATACAACTGCAAGAAACAACAAATAAAACAACTAGAGTTTCCAAAAAACAAAAGCGATAATCAAAGATTGCATGCTCCACTTAAAAATTAGCATGTTAACTGCAGGATAGATCAGAATGTTCAAATGACTAAACAGTACTAAAATTGCCATAGATCTCCATTCTTCATAGCCTAATAATATCAATCTCAAAGCCAATCTGGTAGTTTAACGCTTGCAAAATTATTACTCCAGTAGCAATCAGAAAGAACAAAAAGAAAGGTATAAGAGTAAATTACTTTTATCCGCAAATAGCTCTGCATCTGTAAGTCAGGTGTGTAGGTTTAGAGAAGAAGAAAATAGAAAGGAAAATGTTCCATGTGCACAACAAACGAACAATGCAGAATCCTATGTCCAGAGCTGTATGTTCTGTATACCATGTTTCTACATAAATAGATAAGACCAGTAACAGCAGGCACAGAATTTGAAATTATACCAGGCGAGATACCCTCTTCCATCACAGGGGACGGTGCAGAAGGCCCCCCTTCTAGTTCTAGGAAGTCATTCATTCGGCACATTTTTTGACCAAAACTTTGTATTACAGTAGCAACAATTCTATGACTCTTGACTAGTTACTTGAAACAAGAAACTTCAGTCGTGCTATATGGGACAATTAATGATCAGAGCTAAAAAAAATGCACCAAAGTTTCATTTTGCAGCTTCTCAATCCCATATGGGATATATAAGGTTGGTAGACCTCTCTCGTTACTTGCAAGATTATTCAAAGTGGATTTACCAAATCAATCAAATTGGTCTTGGAAAATTTGAGTATAGGTTCAGAGCTAATGAGTAGTGCTTCCCAAACCCTAGCCCCAGGAGAAACATTCCTGTCAATCATTTTCCTGAGCAATTCCAGTGCCTCGCAAACTAACCCTCTTTGGCACAGACCACAGATTACCTCATCAAATGTAAAACTCTGATGGCAAAAGCACTTACACAACACTTCCTCCACCAAATCACATGCTTCAAGAATGTCACCTTTACTTATCAAACCATCAATTATTACCGTATATGAAACCAAATTCATTTCAATGCCCTTATATTTCATCTCTTTAACAAGCTCCATTGCTCTACTTACCTCACCAACCTTACAAATCGCCTCCAATAAGGTATTATATGTGAGCACATTAGGTGTGCACCGCAACTCCTCCATACAGGCTACCATCTTGATTCCCTCTTCAACTTTGTTTTGCTTGCATAAAGCGTTTATATAGGCATTGTAAGTATAAACATCCGGAACCAAACCCAACCTAAGCAATTCATCAAACAGTTCATCTGCCAACATGTAATCCCCTTCTGCAATTACCCCATTTAAGACCATGGTGTAAGAAACAATACCCGGTTTTATTCCATCGGATTTCATTTGATTTAGAACATCCCGAGCATCCAATCCTCTCTCTTTTTTCACCAGAAACCTAATCACGCTATTATAGTCACCCATTGCAGGACAAAACCCAAGCTTTTTTAATTCCCACCAAAACCCGATAACATCTTGGCCATCCAAATCCACCTCAGCACAAATTGATGATAGTGTAAGGGAGCAAACTTTATCATTAACACCAAGGCCATCGTCTATCATACATTGTAGAATCTCAATAGCATAAGCAACCTTGTTCATTCTACAAAGAGCGCTAACTAATATACGGAAAGTTGATTCTTCGACTCTTATGTTCATAACCAGACTCTTTAACAGAACCTGAGGAACCAACTTAAGGCCGTATTGATTTCTACAAAGAAGTACGAGTAAAGAATTGAGAGAGTAGGCAGAAGGGACGCCCCTGAACTTGGGTATTCTGTAGAAAATATTAACTGCATCTTCAATTCTGTTAGCAATGCCACAGGTTTTGATGAGGTCGGCGAAAATGTACTCGGGTGTTTGAAACTTTTCGATGTGTTCCAGGTGATGGAGCACAGAAGGAATGTGGCTGAAGTGGCGATTTTGGAGCAAGATTTTGATGAGAAAATGAAAGGCTTGAGGGGTAGGGTGAACGTTGTAGATGCTAAAAGAGCGTATAAGAGAGAAGAGAAGGTTTGGTTGAAGAGGGTTATGTTGGGCTACTGCTACTGCTACGAGTTGTCTGAAGGATTTCATGGCTTGTTTTTGGGTGAAAGTTTGGTGCCATTTGGTTTTGTAAGTGGAAATCGGCCATCTTCTGTGCTTTCTTAGGAACAAGTTTGGAGATCTCCTCGCCATCTCCAACACCGAGTATTCTTCAACTCATTTTGTAAAACTGAGCTGAATTTACGATGGCAGAGTTGTTAGGAGCCAAAAAGGAACGAATGCTGTTGGGTTGAGGTGGCTCTGTTTTTGAAGGAAAGAACAACAAGGAACAAGCTAAGACGAAGGCTTTTAGTTTGGGCCTTTGGATTTCTGTTGAGCTTTGATGAAGGGCTTTGATACCAAAATCCACGATTCACTTTACAATTGCAGTGTTTTAGCTTTCTTTCTTTTTGTTTTTCTTCATAAAACCTTAAAACATATATAATTTGTAAATTGAGTTAATAGTGTCAACAAATTCGAATGGGACCTAATTAGAAGTAAAAAGCCACCCTTCTAGTTCTAAATGTATCGCCCGAGTCCTCCTTAAAGTGGAGGAGAATCTCTTTGTTTTAAAAAGAAGTTATGAATGTTTTTCGTCTCTTGGTTAAGAAGTTGTTTTATGAATATTTAAAGGTCATCTAAGTTGGGATCTTTTTTCATTTTTTTCTTATAAGGGTTATATCTTTCCCTCAAAAAAAAAAAAAAAGTTATTAATCTCACTTCACACCATTTTCAATTTATATTTATTCATGAGTAGGTTTTAAAATATATTAATTTTTTTGTATATTTATTTTTAAGATTGATATTTATTTATTAATAAAATTACTTAATTTTGATTGACTGATAATATATAATAAATATATTAATTGTGTATCAAATATAAATTTATAAAAAATAGCATGAGTTAAAAACTTCTCTTCTAACCTTTAAACCATTTGTGTCTAATTATGAACACATGTTTCTAAGTTTTATTATAACACTTGAAACTATTTGTCATAACGTCTAGATCCGGGGATTTCTCGTTAGACATTGACTTAAGGGAGTCGCCATCAATCTTTTTTTATCTAGGTGCGATTGACCACCTAAGGAATCTGTCATTTCAGGGAACACCTAAATTTAAGGGTCCCTAAAAGAATAGGTTCAGGTCTACTAACCAGAATAGGGTTCGGGAGTTCGGTTACGTGTGAGGAAGGTTATAGCACCCTCACAACGCCCATCAAAAGATGATACCAGCTGAAATTTATTTTATCCAATGAGCCTTAAAATTTTACCCAGTAATTAATTATTAGAAATTATTCTCAACTGACTCTAATATTTTTAGCAAAAAATTAAGAAAATTCCCTCACCTCAAGAGTATGCAAGAAAAACTATTGTTTCACTTGCAAAGGCTCCATCGTCAGATTATTTAAAGAAAAATCAAAATCAAAATCAAAATCAAAATAAAAAGGAAAGAAATGATGATTGTTCTTGTACAGGAAAAATTGATACTTTCAACTTTTCCTAAAAAAAAGCTTTTTTTGAAATTTTTTTTTTAAGAAAAATTGATACTTTTAACTTTTTCTTAAAAATATTTTTGAAAATTTTGATTTTCAAGGAAAATTGATACTTTCAACTTTTTCTCAAAAATTATTTTTTTGAAATTTTATTTTTAGAGGAAAAAGAAAATAAAACAAAATAAAAGTGAAAAGAAAAAATAAAATAAAATAAATAAAAGAAAGTAAAAAAAATAAATATTAAATAAATATAAAAAGAATATTAAATAAACCTAATCTAATAAATAAACAAATAAATAAATAAATTCAAAAAAAAAAACTTGAGCGGCTCGGAGGGCGGCTTGGCTCAAGGAAAAAAAACGGCTCGAAGAAGCGGCTTTGGAGCTTAGCTCGGCTCGACTTGGCTAGAAAGGGGACAGACATGCGCGAGTCAGGAAGCGGGTCGACGTTCGGGTCGGGTCGGATCTCGACAAAACACGCGGATCCTATGGGTCACTTAAGGCAAAAATGACGTCGTTTTGGAAGGGTATATAAGGCTCTTCCCTCTGTTTTTTTGACAGAAAGCTCTTTTCTTTTCTCTCTCTTCTTCTCCTTCTCTCTTGCTTCTCTCTAAACTGTTGAAGAACTCCGTTGAATGTACGTCGGATTCTAGAAAATTTCATCGAAATCTGGATTTTTCATCGGAAGTTCGTTAGAAGTTGGCCGGAAGGTGGTCGATTTCTGGGAAAGGTCACCGAAAATTGGGCAGCTCGTCGAAAACTTCAAAGTTAACCGGAATTTTCATCGAAAAATTTAACTTTCGTCGAAAAATTTAATCGAAATCTGGAATTTTTCAGAAATTCTCAGAAAAAAATCATCAAAAATCTTCAAAAAAATTCTTACTAACTCTCAGAATACTTCTTAGCCTTCTATACTCTTCTATCTCTCAAATCAGTAGCTTTGCTCACGTTTTTTCTCTGTCTGCCCTGTTCTGTTCCAAGAGATCCCTTTTATAGGGATTGATCAAGAGTTTTTTATCAATCCCAATTCCTCTTTAGACGTGGATTCAATCTTTGAATCCAATCTGGACTCTTCTGATTGAATCCCCATCCCAGTAAGATTCTTCAGCCTTCAATCTCAACCTTCCAAAATAAAAATCAAATAAAAAAATAGATAATTAGAAAAGATAAATCAAAAAAATATTATAAGATAAATAAAAATATAATAATAATAACAGATATATAATTAGATAAATAAAAATACAAAAATAAATAAAATAAATATGAAAATATATATTAATAAATAGTAATAATAAATAAATAAATAATAAATACATAGGATATAAAAGAAAATATATACATAAAATATAGAATAAAAAAATAAAAAATAACAAAAATAAAATTGGACTTACCCTTTTGGACCAGGCCCAATTGATCCAGGCCTGGACCAAATTGGGTGTCTACAGCTGTCCCTCTTTGCACATTTTTTATAAAACAAAAATTACGAAAAGACGTAGACACCCAATCAAGATTTAACTCAACATTTTCATTTTTTGATTTTTTTTTTTATATTTTTTGTTTTTTTTGTTTGCTTTTGTTTTTGTCTTTGTTTTTTTTAATCGAAGTTCCTCTAAACAGAGGCTCAACGACTTTGAAAAAATAAATTGCTCATCTAAACAGAGGCACCACCACTTTTGAAAAAGTAAATTGCTCCTCTAAACAGAGGCACCATGACTTTTGGAAAGTAAATTGCTCCTCTAAACAAAGGCACCATGACTTTGAAAAAGTAAATTGCTCCTCTAAACAGAGGCACCACGACTTTGAAAAGTAAATTGCGCTTCTAAACAAAGGCACCACGACTTTTGAAAAGTAAATTGTTCCTCTAAACAGAGGCACCACGACTTTTGGAAAGTAAATTGCTCCTCTAAACAGAGACACCACGACTTTGAAAAAGTAAATTGCTCCTCTAAACAGAGGCACCATGACTTTGAAAAATAAATTGCTCTTTGATAATCATGTCCAAAGGAGTTGAAAGTTGTGTTTGAAGGAATTTCAGGAGATTACGCCCAAAGGTCTTATAAATCAACCATGATACCAAAAGACATCCTATTTCAAGGATTAGAAACTTACCTGACAAGCTTTTTCTTTTTCAATTTTGCAAAATATCTTGATATCTGTCTTCTTTATGTGGGATGTTGGAACACCCCTGCTTCTTAAATTTGTACACTATACTTTCTTGAAAGTAATATATGCTATGCAAATGCATATGAATTTCAATGCATGCTATGCAAAATGTTGGCCAATCAATTCTTGTTTAATGTATGGTACTCAAGTTTCTCAAGCTTTTTCTTGGGCATCAAACCTTTTGATTCTTCAGATATCCAATTACACTGCTCTTCTAAGATCGAGCCAGTGTAGCTCTTAATTATCTTTTCCACTCACATTTTTTATTGTTCAGTTTCTCAAAACTTTGGAATAAGCTTTATCAATCGATCATCACTGGACCATCATTCAATGAATTTCTCAGCACTAACAAATTTCAAAACAAGTTTCATCCGCCTTCACTGGGTCATTACTCATAGATGTTTCAGCATTAACCATTCCAAAAAAAACTTTATCCACTGATTGTTCTCATCATTCAATCATAACTTGTAAGTCATATCGACCAATTCATCCTTGTACTCATCACTTGGTTATATCACTTTTCAAGATTTGCCCCATTATATTCTTCATTTGATCACATCATATATTTTTTCAAATCATCTCTTTTAGGTTTCTACCATTTCTTCATTTTGTTACCACCATCATCTTAGATTTCTTTTCAAATGAATGTAAGATTCTTTTAAACACATATGCATTCATTCATTATCATTTCAAATCTTGACAAATACAATGCAATCAAGTATTTTCTCAATTCATTTTAGGGGTGAAATAATAAGAGAACACAAGTTGAATTATCAATGAAGATCTATTTTGGTATAAAACAAATGAGAAAGGAAATAAATTAGATATATATGTCATTGGGATGGATGGTACATCCAAATGATGAATATTCAGACAATTCTCAACATCAATCTAGGATTCTTTTTCAAAAACTCATTCCATTTACTGTTGAAGTCATCTTGAGCTTAGCGAACTTTGCCCCAGTCTTTGAGGGATCTTCAGATGTCTTTGATCTTCCATTCATGTGAGCCATTTGACCTGGATCTTTTTCTATCAAAATCAACCTTTTAGGTTTTCAATTTGAATCTCCTTTTTTCATTTTCTTATTTTTTTTCTTTTTTTTCATCATCTTTTTTTCTTTTTTTTTTCATTTTTTCATCCATTGTTGATATCTTTCATACATCAAACTCTAAAGTAATGTAGCATGATTCCATTGCTTCATCATGAGCATACCTTTGCTCAACATATGATGATTCGAGTTGAGTATTTACACTTGATCCAAATAAACTTTTCAAGGTTGTAATGTAGGCCAAGGTAAAGAGTCATAAAAAAATGGATATAATAGACTCAAAACATGTATTAAAAGTTTCAAAACCAAAGGATCATTTGATATAACTTGGTATTTTGCCCCCACATAATTTCACTATTTTTTCTTTTTTCACATAAAGGATTCTTATTACTTTGCCCCAAGTTATGTGTGACATTTATTTTTTCTTTTTTTTTGAGACTTTTTGTGATTTTTTCAAAAATTACCCCCCAGTGTAGAGGGTGATCCTTGATTGGGGTTCCTCCGAAAAAGAAATCATAATAGGCTCAAAGGGGTGGCAATAAATGGTTTTTCAAATGGTAACAGAAAGATGGCCATTTTTCATCTCAATTATGAATACTTTTCTTGAACATCATATATTGAACAAAGCTCATGATCTTGTATAAAAGATTATATATCTTCAAGACATATCTTTTTCACCTCTGGTAATGGCTTACCCTTTTTTTTTTGCTTAAATCATCTCCTCATATTAATGTGGATGGGTTCTTAAAATTAAATCTCAGAATTATTGTTATCATTGTCTAAATATTCATCATCTGAAATTTAAAAATGAGAGTATAAAGTTATGAAAGGTAACAGAGCATGGAGTAATGGTCAAGTGAAAGAGAAAAATGTAATGAAATGCATTAACTTGCCTTTATTAAGATGATAACAAGTGAA